GGACCATGCAGCTGGGGCGTACCTGGGGCGTGGAGCTGCAGAGGGCCTGGAGACTGGAGCTGCGGAAGACCCGGAGAGTGGAGCTGCAGTGGTCCTGGATCGCGTGGCAGCGAAGGACCTGGAGTCCTGCGAGGAGCTGGCAGGGCTGGAGGCTTGAAGGGAGCCGGCAGGGCGAGTTGTCTGGATGGCGCCGACAGGACGAGGAGTCTGGATGGCGCCGACAGGGCGAGGAGCTGTGGCCGTTCTGGTAGCTCCGGCAGCGGCGGACACTCGGAAAGCTCAGGCGGCGACCGCGGCCACTCGGGAAGCTCAGGCGGCGACGGCGACCACTCGGGAAGCTCAGGCGGTGGCGGCGACCACTCGGGAAGCTCAGGCGGCGGCGACCACTCGGGGAGCTCAGGCAGCGGCGGCGACCACTCGGGAAGCTCAGGCGGCAGCGGCGACCACTCGGGAAGCTCAGGCGGCGGCGGCGACCACTCGGGAAGCTCAGGCGGTGGCGGCGACCACTCGGGAAGCTCAGGCGGTGGCGGCGACCACTCGGGAAGCTCAGGCGGCGGCGGCGACCACTCGGGAAGCTCAGGTGGTGACCACTCGGGAAACTCAGGCGGCGGCTCTGGCTGAGGCGCTGGCGGCGGCGTCGGCTCTGGCTGAGGCGCTGGTGGCGACGTCGGCTCTGGCTGAGGCGCTGGCGTCGGCTCTGGCTGAGGCGCTGGCGGCGGCGTCGGCTCTGGCTGAGGCGCTGGCGGCGGCGGCGGCTCTGGCTGAGGCGTTGGCTGCGGCGTTGGCTCTGGCAGCACTGGAGGGTCTGGCAACACTGGAGGGTCTGGCAGCACTGGAGGATCTGGCAGCACTGGAGGGTCTGGCAGCACTGGAGGGTCTGGCAGCACTGGAGGGTCTGGTAGCTCTGGAGGATCTGGCAGCACTGGAGGGAATGGCAGCTCTGGAGATGGCCTTTCAGGAGCAGGAACAGACTTTGAACTGGAAGCCATCTTGTGAGCTGGCTGACTGGGAGCGGCCATCTTGTGAGCTGGCTGTGGACAATGGGTCGCAAAGCCCCGTAGCCAGCGGGTCTTGCTCTCTACAGCCCCCCCCAAAGAATTATTTGGATTTTCGTCCACCTCTCCTATGGTGAACGAAGATCCACTCATTTGGAGAGCCAGATCGATAAATTGTGCTAGCGTCCATTGGGGATTGTGCAGTGGCATGTAGGAGTACAGTGGTTCAGTAAGTCCTCCGCGAAAGAAAATCATTAAACACAACTCACTCATGGATGTCAGATGTGAAAGTTCAATGAATTTCTCCACGTATTCCTCGATTGACCGGGCTTCCTGACGGAGGCGCATGATTTGAATGCCCGCTGGATCCATGTTCCGGCCGAGTCTTCTGTAACCACGACTGGGGTGGAGTGACAGGAGACCACAGGAGGTAAGATCCACTATGCAGTTTATTCAATAGTCAGGCAAGCAATGGTCATCAGGTGCAAACAGGTATATACAGGCAGTCCAGAATCGTAAACATTAAACAGGCAAATGGTCAAAAGGCAGGCAGCTAAACAGGAAGACAAGGTACTAGGCTAGGATCGTTACACGGAGAAACAAGACAGGGAAACGCGTTGTAATGTTACTAGGAGAACAAGACTCGGCAAACTGGTGGCGTGAGAGAGTGGCTTATGAATGGGATGTAATCAGTCTGTGAACAAGGTCCAGCTGGTGATGCAATCAGGAAACATGAGTGAGCAGGTGTGCGTGTTTGGGAGCAGTGCATGTATGAAAATGTAGTCCTGGGAAATGCGGAAATGTAGTTTCAAGTTCGTGTGAGAACCAGCGATCCTCTGGGGAGTGATCGCTGGTTGTGACAATAAAGTTATTATTGATAAGCAAGAAATCCTGTTGACGATGATATATCTAGACAATATATGATGGTTAAATTTAATTGTTATATATCAGATCATATTATATGATCGTTCAGGGTGGCGCAGTGGTTAGCGATGGTGGGTTTCCTTCAGGTGCTCAGGTTTCCCCCACTGTCCAAAGACATGCACTATAGGTGAATTGGGCTAGCTAAATTGTCAATACTGTGTATGTGTGTGAATGGGAGTGTATGGGTGTTTCCCAGTTGTGGGTTGTAGCTGGAAGGGCAGCCGCTACTTAAAACACAGGGGTCGCCATAGTGGAACGAACCACCAACTTATCCAGAATATGTTTTAGCCACAGCAGAATAACCGCCAACTTATTCAGCACATTTTTACGCAGCGGATGCCCATCTCTGGAAAACATCCACACACACATTCACACACACACACACACTACGGACAATTTAGCCTACATAATTCACCTGTACCGCATGTCTTTTTACTGTGGGGGAAACCGGAGCACCCAGAGGAAACCCACGCAAACGCAGGGAGAACATGCAAACTCCACACAGAAACACCAACTGAGCAGAGGATCGAACCAGCGACCTTCTTGCTGTGAGGCGACAGCACTACCTACTGTGCCACTGCGTCGCCCCTTCTGAATCTCTGTGTAAGGAATTTTCTACAAAAAATAAGAGTGTACAAAAGACCCACTAATTCACCAAACCATAAAGTAATTATGCTTCCTCTTGAGACTGGGTCGAACACACCGGTTAAGCAGAACAAATAGTCTACCTCAGTCTATAATGAAACCGATCACTGTTTTAGCTCGTCTGATGAATGTAAATGCAGTAAATCTTCTTAAGCCGCGTCTCTGCTTTGAGTTTGTTGCTCTCCTACACTGGCATTAACATCAGGTTGACTTTTCAGCCTTTCCCAGTAATAGTCCCTGCTGCGTTTGTCATCTCAGACCTGCTAAATGAGGCCAGAGTCTCGTCTATTGATGTCTTCTCATATTTTCACTCTCTTTAGTGTTGGTCTTTTATTTGCTCTGAGCCATTCTCCCGGGAGCCAATTATCTGAAGTGTCGTCCCGATATTCTGATCCGGGATCAGGCCACTAACTCCATCTCTAATCTCCAGCATCACAAACAAACTCTAATTCTGACCTGAGAGCAGCTGTAAGGCGGATGCGGCCGCCCAGCTCTTCCTCATTACACGTTTGCTCTTTTCAGAGGGTTTTTCAAGTGCAGATGCTGGATTGTGTTTGATGGCGTCTATAAGTGGACATAAATTGGATACTTGGGATTGAAATGCTTTGTCTGAATCCAGATGGTTTTTCTTCAAAACAAGCAGTTATCATTGAGAATCCTCATCAGATCTACACATTTGAGTGGCTTTAAATTAGTGTACATTTTTGGAAATTTATCTATAAATAAATAAGCTTTCCATTGATGTACACTGTGACAAAAGACTTGTCACCGATCCGATTGTTTAGGAACAACAAATAATAACTTGACTTCTAGTTGATCATTTGCTATCAGAAGTGGCTAATATGAAAGGTAAAGGTCTCATCTGTGGATTACACTTATTTTACCAGAATAAAATATGATCATGCCTAGATTTATAATGATTTCTTTAGGACAGTATGGTCTAACTTTGCTTAGACAAAAGTCTTGTCACTTAACAGAAATAATGTCCAGTATGGAATATAAAGTCCTGCTGCAGTGGAAAGAGAATGAATATTGTGTCTGACTCCAACATGAGCACGGAGGACTGCATCCATACATCTCTGCAATCACTCAAAAGTCATCTGGAATGGCAGAGAAAGCGTTCTTGCAGGACTCCCAGAGTTCATCAAGATTCTTTAGATTCATCTTCAATGCCTCCTCCATCTTACCCCAGACATGCTCAATAATGTTCATGTCTGGTGACTTGGCTGGCCAATCCTGGAGCACCTTCACCTTCTTTGCTTTCAGGAGCTTTGATGTAGAGGCTGAAGTATGAGAAGGAGCGCTATCCTGCTGGAGAGTTTGCCCTCTCCTGTGGTTTGTAATGTAATGGGCAGCACAAATGTCTTGATACCTCAGGCTGTTGATGTTGCCATCCACTCTGCAGATCTCTCGCACACCCCCATACTGAATGTAACCCCAAACCATGATTTTTCCTCCACCAAACTTGACTGATTTCCATGAGAATCTTGGCTCCATGCGGGTTCCAGTAGGTCTTCTGCAGTGTTTGTGATGATTGGGATGCAGTTCAACAGATGATTCATCGGGAAAATCGACCTTCTGCCACTTTTACAAATGATCAACTAGAAGTCAAGTTATTATTTTCTGCTCTTACTGAGATTGACGACAAGACTCGTTTCAGGCAGTGTATGCTTTCTAATAAGTGGACAACATCTGGCTGAGATGCAACTATTTGACTATCTGGAAACTGAGGGTTCAAAAAATGTTATATTGAGAAAATTGCCTTAAAATTTGTTTGCACACAAAAATGCGCATTACTAATCAAACATTGAGTTTTAATATATTTACAGAGGGAAATTACACCATAAATTCATGAAACATGATTGTTACTTAGTATTTTAATGATTTCGAATTGCATTTTGTGACCTTGATCTTTCTTCCAACAACTTTTAACCTTAAAAAAATGAAAAAATGTTGAAAAAATTACTTTTATTAACATTTTTTTATAGTTTAAGGTGATATATTGTTTGGGTTGGTGTTGTATATTACGCTACAAAAGCCTTGTAATAAACCGCCAGTATATTTTCCCTTGTTTTAGAGACTTATTATTTCTCTATTTAGTTTTTCTTATACGTTATATTATTTCAAACTACTAAAATTTCAATAAGTCACTTTGTTAAACTGTAGAGTTGAATTTTCAACATCAAAAGTCGACAGCAAAGATCAGCATCCCAAAATGCAATTCCTAGCCGTAAATAAACGTAAAACACTCATGCGTTAACAAAAGTTTTGCAGGAGTTCTGTAGGATGCAATAAAGACCACAACTTCCATAATTCCACACACAATTACGCCATCATAAAAATGTGGCTTTGTTTATTGTGAATATACTCCCTCTAGTGGCCAAAATGACATACTGTATCTTTAATGCAGTCCCTCTCTCTCTCTTTCTCTCTCAGCTACAGCACAGCATATCAGTGCATCTACTATCCTCCAGAGCAGACGACCAAAGCCAGAGAGATCCTGAGTGTGGTTTCTCAGCTGCAGCCGCACATCACTGCATTGGCCGATCAGCTGCTGCAGAGCCCCAGAGACGCTCTCAGAGACACACTTAAGAGCCTGGAGGACAAGGTGAGACCCTCAGCTAATGCTTCTGCCTCTGTGTCAAGCACAAAACACAGCAACTATATGTGGAAGCAAATATATATTCCCTGTATTTACTGGATTTGGGCTCATTTTGAAATTTAGCCCTCTATATATTTCTGGAGATCGCAAATTTTGAAACCAGAAGTACGTATGGCTGCATTTCGTCTTTTAAACGAATGCTATGGGTTGGTATGAAGCCATTCCTATTTGGGCTACCAGCTGACCACTTACCTTAGTGTGGATGGCTTTTCCGCTGTTAATAGTTTGCCATCTATGTCGGTGGACTTGAAACGCAGAGAGGAGTTGACCACGACAACGGGGTTCAAGTCCAGCGAAGAACGGTTCCAGGAAGCGTGTAAGACAAAAAAAAGAATCCTTAAAATAAACAAGTAAATAACAGGGTGAGAATGTAATTAAATATGAAATGTGGTAAAAATCAGTCGATGGCTTTTCTTTTTCTGAATTGCTTTTTAAACCTGTCAGTTGGGAAAGGAGGAGGGTGGGTCAGTCAATTGGTAAGTCAGTCAGTCGACAGCGGCCTCTGGTGGATTTACAGTAGAACAGCAGGCATGAATGGCACTCACAAGAGAAATTTGAGATCTAAAAAAGCGTACACAGCGGCCTTTGGTGGATTCACAAAAATAAAAACTGCAAAAAATTGACCTCCTAGTATGTATTTGGCTCTCTCCATAAATGTATATAGCGGTACGTTTTCAGAATGAGCCTGGGTTGAAACTATTAGATAAATATTGATGGGGCAGTTTACACAAAACTTGTTTATTTCAGTATTATTTATTTATATTTAAGTGGTTGTAAAGTTTTTTTTTTCTTCTGTTGAACACAAATGAAGATATTCTGAAGAATGTTGGAAAAAAGCAGCCATTGACATCCAGGGTAGGAACAGAAAAAACTCAATGGAAGTCAATGGCGTTTTTTTTATTCTTCAGTAAGAAAGAAAGAAACTGTGCCTTTAATGTGAGTTTTAGTCTGTAAAGATGTGATAGCCTTCCAATTGTCATTTTTATTGCCTTTTTTTTTATAAAATGACACTTGGTCAGAATGGTAAATGTTTTAATTTGTTGCAATTGAAAATTAGGGTTAATTCACTTAATGATCTGAAGTTAAAACATTAGTTGTTTAAAATTAATACAAATATGTCACTTTTATTTTATGGCAAAAAGTTCAATATAGTTACATGTATGTGTTTTGAGTAAAATGTAAGTTTTGTTTTGGTGTTTATTTTAAATTGTAAGAAAACATCAAAGACTATTTTATAAAAAATAAAAATAAAAATATTTGAATCATATTGTATTTTTTATGTTTATTACACTTTTTTATATTCCAAAATTAGAAAAAAATCTGTATTTGGTGAAATAATCATGATTTTCTCTGACAACAAATGAAAACTTTTGTTATTCTGACCGATTGTTATCTTTTTGGCGGGGAATATAAAGAGGAATGTTCTAAATTGCTATACAGTTGAAGTCAAAACTATTAGCCTCCCTTTGATTTTTCTTTTCTTTTCTTTTTTAAATATTTCCCAAATGATGTTAACAGGGCAAGGAAATTTTCACAGTACGTCTGAAAATATTTTTTATTCTGGAGAAAGTCTTATTTGTTTTATTTCGGCTTGAATTAAAAACAGTTTTGAATTTTTAAAAAACATTTTAAGGCAAAAAGGATTAGCCCCTTTAGGCTTTATATATATTTTTTGATAATCTACAGAACAAACCCTCGTTATAGAATAACTTGCCTAATTACCCTAACCTGCCTAGTTCAGCTTATCAACCTAGTTAAGCCTTTAAATGTTACTATAAGCTGTATAGAAGTGTCTTGAAGAATATCTAATAGAGTATTATTTACTGTCATCATGGCAAAGATAAAATAAATTAGTTATTAGAGATGAGTTATTAAAACTATTATGTTTAGAAATGTGTTGAAAAAATCTTCTCTCCGTTAAACAGAAATTAGGGAAAAAAATAAACAGGGGGCTAATAATTCTGACATGTAAATATTAGACCGTATTAATTACTTGTAAGGTAACAATATATATATATATATATATATATATATATATATATATTTTTTTTTTTTTTTTTTTTTTTTTTTTTTTTAATGTTTGATTTTGGTGTTGTGCAGGGCTTAATTTGTGCCGGCACCTCATTTTACCGATCCCCCTTCTCCCAGCTCTTCACTTTGGTCTGTGACTCCCCAACCCTCTTCACTTTCATCTGCAATACCTCCGTTTTGTCTGCGACTCCCCCCGACTCTTCACTTTCGTTCACTCTCACAATCCTGGGGCACCCCCCTCTTGCAATTTACAAATTAAGCACTGGTGTTATGTAGTACATACAGAATGTATTGTATGTAATATATACTCTGGAAAATTCTTCATGTGAAAGCATTTAAGCCAGTGTTCTTGAGTACCAGACTCATTTTAGAAATGCTTAAAGTTTTAAAGTGTAAGTATCATTTAAATAAAGTATTAATCTTCAAGACGGGGTTTGGGAGCATAAATGTAAAATGAGGCTGAAGATTGCAGCTGATGGTTCCTCTATTAATAGAGCTGCAAATGTTCATGCTTTAAGGGCAAATATCTTTTCTAATGAAATGCACCACTGCCACACTCAATTAATCTGAAGCTGCTGCTGGATCAGTCAGAGGAATGATGTCTAGTGTTACTGCTGGTTACTCACTCGCTGTCTGTCAAACCAATGACCAGCAGTCATATGGTAACAGGATGGAAAGCATTTACTAGGGGGTTGTGAGTGGTTGCCAGGGTTTTCCAATGTGGTTTTTATAATGGTCTTATTGGTTGCCAGGGTGTTGCCATGTTGTATCTAAGGTGTTCTAGGTGGTTTTGTGGTAGTTAAGATGTTAAAGTGTTGCTTTGTGTTTTGTGCAATTGCCATAGTGTTGCTAAGAGGAGTTCTGGATGGTATTGGGGTTGCTAGGATTTCAAGTTGTTGCTATGTGGTTTCTAGGTTGTTCTGTCTGATTGGCATGGTGTTGCTATTCATTTTAGTGATGTTTTGCTTGGTTTTGGGGTTGCTAGGGTGTTAGATTATTGCTAGGTGGTTGTTAGGTGGGTGTTTTGGATGGTTTGGTGTTGTTAGGTCGTTGCTAGAGTGTTCTGTCTGTTTGGCATAGTTTTGCTATGGTTTTTCTATGGTGTTCTGTATGGATTGGAGCTTGCTAGGATGCTAAGGTGTTGCTAGGTGGTTGCTAGGTTGTTCTGTCTGTTTGGCCTTGGTTTTGCTTTAGTCTTTCTGTGGTGTTGAGCGTAGTTTTTGGCTTGCTAGGGTGTAAAATTATTGCTAGGTGGTTGTTAGGATGTCAGTGCGTTGCTAGGTGGTTGCTAGGGTGTTCTGAATGGTTTTAGGGTTGCTAGGATATCAAGATGTTGCTATGTGGTTTCTAGGGTAATCTGTCTGGAATGTCTATGCTAGGGTGTTCTGGATGGTTTGGGGGTTTTTAGGATGTCAAGGTTTCTAGGATGCCAAGGATGTCAAGGTGTTGCTTTGGTGTTCTGTCTGTTTGGCATAGTGTGTTGCTATGGTTTTTCTATGGTGTTCTGCGTGGGTTTTGGGTTTGCTTGGGTGGTTTGGGGGTTGCTAGGATATCAAGGTGTTGCTATGTGGTTTCTAGGGTAATCTGTCTGGAATGTCTATGCTAGGGTGTTTTGGATGGTTTGGGGTTTGTTAGGATGTCAAGGTTTCTAGGATGTCAAGGTGTTGCTTTGGTGTTCTGTCTGTTTGGCATAGTGTTGCTATGGTTTTTCTATGGTGTTCTGCGTGGGTTTTGGGTTTGCTTGGGTGGTTTGGGGGTTGCAAGGATGTCAATGTGTTGCAAGGTGGTTGCTAGTGTGTTTTTTCTGGTTGACAAGGTGTTGCTATGGTTTTTCTACAATGACGTGCATGGTTTTGGGCTTGCTAGGGGGTCCAATTATTGCTGGGTGTTTGCTAGGTGGTTACTAGGGTGTTCTGGGTAGTTTTGTGGTTGCTAGGATGTCAAGACGTTGCTAGGTGGTTGCTATGGTGTTCTTTCTGGTTGTTTTGGTGTTACTATGGTTTTTCTATGATGTTGTGCCTGGTTTTGGGCTTGCTAGGGGGTTCAGTTATTGCTGGGTGTTTGCTAGGTGGTTACTAGGGTGTTCTGCATAGTTTTGTGGTTGCTAAGATGTCAAGACGTTGCTAGGGGGTTGCTATGGTGTTCTTTCTGGTTGGTTTGGTGTTGCTATGGTTTTTCTATGATGTTGTGCATAGTTTTGGGCTTGCTAGGGGGTCCAAATATTGCTACTGCAGGTGGTTGCTAGGGTGTTCTGGATTTTTTTGGGGTTGCCAGGATGTCAAGATTTTGTTAGGGTGTTGTGGGTTGCTGTTAGGGCATCTATGTGTTAATTAGGATGTCGTTATGTGATTGTTGGGGTGTTTTGGTTGGTAATACGATGAACAAATGGATGCTCATTCAGTAGAGCACAGAATGCGCTCTGTCTTGTGTTGTGTTTCTGTAGACAAAACCCAATTTGCATCAACAAACACTGCATGATCATGTCATTATCCTTGTTGTCCCGTTCGCAGAAGCCACCGGGTGTTGGCCTGAAACAGGTCAATTTGCAAACACAGTGGCTCTTTGACAAACAGCCGTCAGTCTGTCAGGCTCTCCTCTGCCAAACGTGGCCGAGTGACTCTTTTGGAGGCCTTCATGTTTTCTGTGTGTAATTAATGAATTACATCTGGTGCCGTCAGCGCTCAGCCTGTGACAGCGAGATTGTTTCTGCCACAGAGGAATATGGGCAATCAGCCCCCTTCAT